AGCATGGTGGCGGCAAGGAGGACTGCATGTGTCGTGTGTTCACAACGGGAGGAAGTGCCGCTCTTCACTAGAGGTCAGGGAAGGCCAAGGTGTGATCCCGGCCTGGGTCGCCAGCCCTGCGGGCTGTAGTCACGCGCCACTGTGCTGGGACTGTCCCGTCCGGCGCCGCCAGGGCCGGTGGGCCGGTGTCTTGTCCGTCACGCCTGCGAGGCCGTGAACTCGGGCCTGGGAGGGTGACCAGGAGGCCCCCTGACATGGCGAGCTGAGTTTCCACCGCCAAGGAATGGGGTCTCAAAACTGCACAGGAGTTTAGAGCCACGGCGTCCCTTCTCGCATGGCTCCGCCAGTCAGGCGCAGATGCCCAGGTATGCCCTGGGGCTGCACAGAGCTCGGGCCGGAGGCAGAGGTGGGGGAAGAGGCGGCGAGGGGCTGCACACTGCGGGCAGCCGGCGGCCACGGGCCTCCCAAAGCTGCCGGGGCCTGAACTCAGCCGTGCGCCCCTGCTGCCTCCTCCTATTGAGACGAACTGCTTCCCCGCTGACGGCCAATGCTAATTAAGCTGACGACCTTGATAAGTCACACAGCTGACTGCTCGGAGACAAAATGGATGGGAAGTCTTGTTCGTGATTTCTTCTGCTCTTTTATGCGCCTGATAGTCATTTTAAAATTAAATTGAGTGGCTTATCGGTGCTAATTCAAATCGACAGGGCAATCTTTCTTCAGTGACTAACTGATAGCGGAGAGGCCGGCCACCCTGCCGACATCACTCATCGCTGCTCCGCGGAGCCTGGCCCCGCTGTGGGGCTTTGAAGTGATCACTTTCAACCTGGGTCCTTTTCTCCCCAAAAGTACAAGCCGCCTGGGCTCCAAGCCTTGCCCTTCGGACCCTCAGAACCCGCCTTCGCGGGGGTGACCAGTGCGAGGTGTCCCGTGTGCTTGCCCCTGTGAGTCCTCCGCTAGGTGAGTGGGGGGCTCACTGTGGAGACCACCCCCTCCCTTCTCTCCTGCTGAGCCCCCACGCCGCTCAGAGGACAGACACAACCTTCACTCACACCTGTCCCACCGCAGAAGCCACGTGTCCACGTTGCACAAAACAAGAAGAAACAGCATGGCGATCCTCAGCACACTCATGCAAAGACAGACCAAAAACCTTCCAGAATAAAATAACCCTAAGAATAGAAGAAAATCCCAGAAAGTGCTTCACCTGAGAAGAACTTAAGACAACATTTTAAACTTTATTTTATTTATTTTACACATTTAAAGAAGAACTTAGAAATTAGAAGGCAGAACTTGTGAAGTGAAAACCACAGATTTCAGAGCTGAAGAAACAGAAGAAGGCTGAAGACAGCGGAACAGGAAGCTAGGAAGTGAGCCCCACGATATGTTTCTAAACACCTAAAAAGAAGCAACAGAAAGAAGCTAATCGATTTCTGGAAGCCACAGGAAGGGGCACCGCATCAGGATACCGGGTGTCACAGGAAGGGTGGGAAAACTAGCTACGGACGTCAGAGGCGTCCCCTGGCATGGAGGAGGGCCCGCTGCTCTGCACACGGACCGGAACAAACGACCACCCCCGCCCCCCATGGAGTAGTCGGGTTATCCCTGCAGCCAGCCACCGGGAGCCCGAGCCAGCAGCGAGCTGCTGCGGGACAAGCCAGCCCAGATCAGAGGGTGCAGAAACCTCCCCTTGTGCCTCGCTATAGTCCTCTGAGGAAGGGGCCAGTATTAACCCCCACTCTACAGACAGGGAAACTGAGGCACGCAGAGCCTCTGTAACTTGTCTGAAGTTACACTGTCGATACCTGGTTGTATTGGTCAGAGTTCTCCAGAGAAGCAGAACCAAAGGGAGGAGGGAGGAATGGAGGGAAGGAGGGAGGGAGCGGTGGGTGGGTGGGCCAGTGGCTGGACTGAAGGAAGGGTCCTCCCATGGGGGCTGCTCTGCTGGCGTGTCCGGCCAGTCCGCTCCTCTCCCCAGCCCCCTCCTGACTCCCTCAATGTACTTCACTGTCCACCCCAGGAAATGACGTGTAATATCTTCAGGAAACGCCCCTACTTACAGTAAGAGCAAGTTGTACATCTGCCAACGGCAGCCATTAGGCAAAGTGATGCTCAATAAATTTCCCCACGCAGACTTCCGTCCTCATCTGAGA